AAAAAAAAAAAAAAAAAAAGAAAGAAAGAAATAATGGAAGGTACATAGTCTTGAATAACTGAAATGTTCAGTTGCTAAATTAGCTTTAAGTTTACAAGGCATGGGAAGAGTAGACTTTTACTTAGTGACGAAATGAGGGGCACACCAGACTATCTGTCACAAACACCTGCAGGATCTGGCCTGGCTGCCAGGAAGCCCAGCAATAGTTTTAAATGGGTCTAAATTTCTCATACATTGGTATTAAAACACTGACATGAATGCTTGCAAACTGTATTCAGCAGAGGGGTTGAGTTTGTAGCATTCTTCTTGTCTTTGCTTTGATAGATAAAAAAAATCTACTTCTAAGAAGCTTTCTAACATATACGTATTTGTTTAATTGTTATTAAATTGGTTGCAAGGTAGTGAGATTGTAGAAGAGACCTATAAAATTTGTGGAACTAGTTACAGATTTAATTTGCATACGGCATATAGAAATAGAAAGTGAGTAAGTTCTTAGACAGCTGGGATGGCTTCTTACTGGATGATGGAACACTAGCAGACATCACAGATGTGAAGATGTCTAAGGTCTCTTTTACCTTTAATATACTAAGATAAAAGGAAGCAAATGCAAGATCTTTAAGGATTTGAAAACTTAAGTTGGAAAAAGAACGGTGCTAAAATGACTAATAAAGACTAGAAAAGGCCTAAACTTATTTAACCAATAATTAAAATTAGTGTTTAGCTTTTCCCCCAGACAGACTTTTGTTCTTGTTGCCTGGGCTTGAGTGCAATGGTGCGATCTTGGCTCACTGCAACCTTCGCCTCCCAGGTTCAAGTGATTTTTCTCCCTCAGCCTCCCAAGTAGCCGAGATTACAGGCACCTGTCACCACGCCTGGTTGATTTTTGTATTTTTATTAGAGGTGGAGTTTCACCATGTTGGCCAGGCTGGTCTCGAACTCTTGATCTCAAGTGATCCACCTGCTTTGGCCTCCCAAAGTGGTTGGATTACAGGTATAAGCCACCGCACCCAGTTTATTTAGCTTTTTTTAAGGGTAGTTTTCACACACTATAAAATGCATAAACTTACTCAATCAGGCATATCTACCTAACAGCAAGACTCAAAACAAAGAAAGGAAAGGGGGTAGGAAATTAACATTTACTGAGCTTCCACTCTATGTAGATAATTAACCTGTATTGTTTCATTTCATCTACACAGTAACTCCGTGAAGGAGATATCATTCCATTTTATAGTCAAAAAACCAAGATTTAGAGACATTAAGTATGACTAAGGTCATTACTGGTTAATAGAAGGCATTCAAAGGCCATTACCTGAAGCGAATTTTAGATTATTTTGCATTTCTGAAACCTATCTTCGTAACTTGCCCCTTCCTTTTCCTGAGGAGAGCAATAGGGTTAGTAATACTATTATTATTATTTTTTTTTGAGACGAAGTCTGGCTTTGTCACCCAGGCTGGAGTGCAGTGGCACGATCTCGGCTCACTGCAACTTCCGCTTCCCGGGTTCAAGTGATTCTCCTGCCTCAGCCTCCCAAGCAGCTGGGACTACAGGTGCGTGCCACTAAGCCTGGCTAATCTTTCTGGTATTTTTAGTAGCAACTGGGTTTCAACGTGTCAGCCAGGATGGTCTCGATTTCCTGACCTTGTGATCTACCTACCTCGGCCTCCCAACGTGCTGCCATTACAGGCGTGAGCCACCGTCCCTGGCCTATATTGTTGATATTATCATACCAAGATCCTGAAGGAATGCTATTACAGAAATACAAATAAAAAATGTATATAGATTGAAAAGTACTTGAAGAAAAAGTCTGCATAAGCAAAAGCAAAACAACTTTGAGGAAGTGAATGTATGAGTACAGACAGATGGTCCTCCCTAAGCAGCTCAGATTTCTATAGTTCATGGAGACATTAGGGATCACTTAGCTCAAGCCCCTAATTTCACACATAAAGAAATTGCAGCATAATGGTTAAGAGCAAAGGATTTTTTTTAAAAAATAATTAATTAATTAATTATTTGAGAAGGCGTCTCACTCTGTCACTCAGGCTGGACTGCACTGGCACAATCTTGGCTCACTGTAACCTCTGCCTCCTGGGTTCAAGTGATTCTACTGCCTCAGCCTCTGGAGTAGCTGAGATTACAGGCATGCACCACCATGCCCAGGTAATTTGTGTATTTTTGGTAGAGACACGGTTTCACCATGTTGGCCAGGCTGATCTGGAACTCCTGACCTCAAGTGATCCACCCACCTCGGCCTCCAAAGTGCTGGGATTACAGGCGTGAGCCACTGCGCCCGGCCGAGCAAAGGATTTTGATTCAGAGAGATCAAGTCCCATTTCTATCCTTCAAATTGTGTGATCTTGGCTAAGTTAGTTAACAACTCTGGGCCCCAGGCCTAGGGGGTAACAAAAAGGGGGTTAATAATTGCACCTAACCCACAGGATAGGATAATTACATGAGATAATATACATGAATTTTTAACATAATTATCTCACACACAGTAAGTAATAAGTAAATGAGAGCTATTATTACTATTTTTAGGAATCCAAAGGAAGTAAATAATCTTCTGAGCCCCCCAACCCCTTCCCTGATCTAAGAACAATTAAGTTCACAGTTTTTAACACTCTTTCACGGGGTCTTGGGAATACAAGTAAAAATGCTTCTAGGCAACAGTCAGACAAGCAGCTAGAGTAAGAATTATTAGGGCCCACATTCTTACCACTGGTAGACTTCTGTAAGTCTTGATCTGTTAAAGGAAAAGAAAATTCTTTCAGGGAATGACAATAAAATAAATATTAACATTAAACATTTATTCTGGGTGTGTGCAAAGAAGTCTTTATAAAGAAGTAGACAAAGCCTGTGCTCTGAAGTAACACTCAATATAGTTGAGAAGCTGAAACTGTATAGTAAGTTAACCAATAGCACAAGGTGTTATGAAATAAATGGTTTAGACAATAAATGTTATAGCAAGAAAATATGATCCAGAGTCTAAAGGGATTCATCTAAGTTCATTGTCCTGTGACATAAGAAAAGCACTATTTCCAAAGCAACAATGTCTTAAAAAAAAAAGAAAAGAAAAGAAAAGAAAAGCACTATTACTAGGCCAGGCATGGTGGTTCAGGCCCGTAATCCCAGCATTTTGGGAGGTTAAGGTGGGCGAATCACTTGAGGTCAGGAGTTCGAGACCAGCCTTGCCAATATGGTGAAACCCCATCTCTACTAAAAATATAAAAATTAGCTGGGTGTTGTGGTGCGTGCCTGTATTCTCATTCCAGCTACTCAGAAGACTGAGGTAGACGGACTGCTTGAACCTAGAAGACAAAGGTTGCAGTGAACCAAGAATATGCCACTGCATTACAGTCTGGACAACACAGTGAGACTCCATCTCAAAAGAAAAAAAAAAAGCAAGCACTATTATTACTAGTTAAGGTTGCTGGAAGGCACACACAGACAAGAGACACATAGATAAACTTTCATTCTTCAACATTAAAACAATAATAAGATTCTGAGGCTGCCTTCACAATATGGTGGCAAATTTATTCTTTTTTGAGAAATATTATTAAAATTTTAAATTCTTGGTCATAACTGAAATTCAACTCAGTCCTTTAAAAAAAGTGTTTCAGGCCACACTGCATCTAACATGACCAGGAATATGAAAAATTGAAATATACAAAAATACAGAAAACATGAAAAGCAGCTACAGACACATCCCTGAAATAGGGAATCATATATATCCACTTCATTAGGAAAGATGAATTTGGCTATTATCAGGTATTAGGTAAACATTTAATGTTATGAGGAAAGGTTTCCTGGAGGAAGGAAGTGAGCAAAGAAAACAGATCAATTAATCTTTCAACAGACGAGGTTTCTTGCCATGTGTCATTTTTATTGTGCTTTTTAAAAAATGTAGAGGATACTCAGATTCTTTCCAACTAGAGTTTGACCTTCAATTCCACAACTTTCTCAGGACTTTTTAACACTTTAATAGTAGTAAGATGTTTGTAGTCTAACATATACAGAGTCTTCCCCAAATCTATTTAACCCTTTTCTTCTAGATCTTAACCCAATAGAGCAGTTCAGATGACTGGGATAACAAAACTAAGTTACCCAAGAGATTTACATATAAGTTGGGATCTTGAAAAAGCATCAACTTTTAAAGCATTTCCCCACTAGGAAGAGAAGGCCTCACAAACGGCTAACAGAATATTTTTAAACAGTTATGACTTTTCCAGGTTACTATGAAACCCAGTACTATCTTGTGAGAATTAAGCATACAGACATGGTAAAGTCTTTTTTTTTTAAAGTCTGGCACTACTTTTACTAAAGTAGAAATCAAGGAAAACAGAGGTATGGTTAGTTTAGGAAGTCATTATGGCTTGTTGGCAGGCCATGTATATGTAGGAGTGGTGGTTCAATCAGAAACACGATTCCTTACTTCCCATCTCCAAAACATTCTCTATGCATTTACAGATTTATTTCCCAGTTCTCAAACAGCAAGTTAAAATAAAGTTATTTAAATAGCTAAATCAAGACCCTTACAAAGAAGAGAATCTGAAGACGTGAAATGTGCTTATTCTAAATGCTAGTTTAGCGGGCATTCTTAGTAGTTTTCCTTCCCAGTCATAATGAGAGTAAATAGAGATACGAGAAAAATGTAGGACAGCTTTAAGGGGGAATACTGTTTTCTCATTTTTTTATTCCCTACTTTCCACAGGAAAAGGCATGTAAAAATAGTGGGCAAATATCACTGTGGGTTTTACATATAAGAGTTCCAGTCCTTTTTTTTGAGACAGAGTCTCACTCTGTTGCTAGGCTGAAGCGCAGTGGCGAGATCTTGGCTCACTGCAGCCTCCACGTCCTGGGTTCAAGCAATTCTCCTGCCTCAGCCTCCCAAGTAGCTGGGATTACAGGTGCATGCCACCACACCTGGCTAATTTTTGTATTTTCAGCAGAGACAGGGTTCCATCACGGAAACTTCTAACCTCGTGATCCACCTGCCTTGGCCTCCCAAAGTGCTGGGATTACAGGCGAAAGCCACTGTGCCCGGCTGAGTTCCAGTCCTTAAGAAAGGGAAGCTCAGAGCTAAACAACTTGCTCAAGGACACAGAGAATCTGCTATCCAGTTCCGTCAGGTGCTGAGGCCCAGGGTCTTTATTCTGCTACTATGCAATGATCAGCTTTGGGCACCTTATGCTCAGTTTCTGAATTGTGTTTCTTTTAGGTCTGACCAATACCTGGCTAGGCGCTCCTCTAAGAAATGGTATCGTTCTTCTCTGAGGCCTCCTCCAAAGAGTTCCCCAATTCCAGGAACCAGAAGATCAACAGCAGCAACCTAGAAAGACAAAATAAGAATTAATATCAGCATTATATTTTCAGGTGATTCCAATAGTCAGTTTCTGAAGCAAGCAAATGTTTAACATTTTGGTAATGGCTAATTACCTACCTACCAGAATGTTATTGATTTTATCTGTCTATACTCCCTGTTTCAATATCAAATGTTTAATATTATATTATCTTTTGAATACTTGCTACAAACAAATTACAAGTGGACAGTTTCCTCTCTACTCTTGCACCATTTGTGTGGTATACTTAAAAAAAAAGTCTCTTCTTCATAAATGTGATAGAAAAGTTCATTATAAAAGTTCATTATAAAAATGTACAAAGTGTTAAAAATTATGAAATATTAAATATTACCTATCACTACCAGAAACAATTACATTTTGGCAGATTTCCTTTCATATTTTTTCCCTTTTACATTTACAAAGAATAATTACAGATAAAAACTTACCACTTGTCTTACCTAATATTACAAACTAATATTTTTCGTATGTTAGCGAAAATTCACACGTTATGTTTCAATAGCTTTAATGTTTAATAGTTTGTTTAGAATTATTTAACTGTTTTCCTTTTTAGTTGCACATTTAAGGTGTGCGTATTTCTGTTTTCTCTTATAATGCGGCAATGAAGAGTTTAATTTGTAGTATTGTTATTATGACATATAAAATAAATTCTGACTATTAATCAAAGAAGTACAAAATTAAAAGAACAAGATCCCATTCTGGAGTTATCAAAATGGAGATGATGGCCAAGCACAGTGGCTCATGCCTATAATCCTAGCACTTTGGAAGAATGAGAGAGGCAGATTACCTGAGCTCAGGAGTTTGAGACTACCCTGGGGGCAACATGGTGAAACCCCGTCTCTACTAAAACACAAAAAATTAACTGGGCTTGGTGATACACACCTGTAATCTCAGCTACTTGGGAGGCTGAGGCAGGAGAATTGCTTGAGCCCAGGAGGTAGACGTTGCAGTGAGCTGACACTGCACCACTGCACTCCAGCCTGGGCCACAGAGCAAGAGTATGTCTCAAAAAAAAAAGAGGGGGATGATAAGAAAATAATGTATCTATAGGACTAAGTCTGAAAGAAAAAATAAAGGAAAATAAGATAAGCAATATAGATAAGAGAATGAATAAACAAATACGCTCATATAACTGATACAACCTTTCTGGTCAGCAATTTGGCAACATATAACCAAACACTGGAAAAATGCAATATGCTTTGACTCAGCAATAGCAGTTCAAGGAACCTGTCCTAAGAAAATCAGAGATGTAATAAAAGATTAACACGTAGGATGTTTATTACAGCAGTACTTACGACAAAAAATTCAAATGTACATCAATAGACTATTAGATAAGTTTTACACATGGATAGAAAAATGACTATCATCTACATAATGAGATGTTATGTTGCTACTGTGATGAAATTACATTTTAAAATTTTGTTTTCTATTTGTATATTCTTATTTTCTATACTAAACGTATTAGTTTTATAAAACATAAAAAAACTCTTAGTAAGGAAAAAACGATAGCTTAGTATTTTAATTTGCATTGCTTCAACTACTAAATTAGTATTACTAAATTAATTACATTTCTTCAATTATTAAATTAGTAATATTTAATTTTTCAGGCCAGGCATGGTGGCTCATGCCTACAATCTCAGCACTTTGGGAGGCCAAGGCAGGTGGATCACCTGAAGCCAGGAAATCGAGACAAGCCTGGCCAATATGGTAAAACCCTGTCTCTACTAAAAGTACAAAAAATTAGCTGGGTGTGGTGGCAGCTACCTGTAATCCCAGCTACTCAGGAGGCTGAAGTTGCAGTGAGCCAAGATTGTGCCACTGCATTCCAGCCTGGATAACAGAGTGAGGTTTTGTCTGCCCCCCCAAAAAATAATTTAAAAATTAAAAGAATATATATTTATTTGTGGCTGGGCATGGTGGCACGTGCTTGTAGTTCTGGCCACTTGGGAAGCTGAGGTGGGAGGACTGCTTGATGTCAGGAATTTGAGACCAGCCTGGTCAACACAGCAAGACCCTGTCCCTAGAAAATATTTTTAAAATGCTTATTTGCAGTTGGGTGTGGTAGTGCATGCCTGTGGTCCCAGCTACTTAGGAAGCTGAGGCAGGAAGATCACTTGAGCCCAGGAGTTTGAAGTTGCAGTGAGCCATGATTACACCACCTGTACTTTAGCGACAGAGCAATACCTTGTCTCAAAACACAAAGTATTTATTGCTACCTGTATCATTTTGTGACTTTCCAATTTGTCTTTTGGGCATCTATACATTTTAAGCCCAAGAACCTAAAGGTAAGAAAACCAAGATTCAGTGTAACAAATGAAAAATGAGGAATCCATAAAACACACTTTAATCTTTAAATGTCACATTACATTATAAACTTCTTAAAAACTTTGCCTCACTTTGCCATTAAGCCATCCCCTTCCCAGTTTTGATGTAGAAACTTTTGATTGAGATATACTTTACAAATAATCGACAATAATAAAGAATAATTCAAGATTGTGCCCCCAATGCTGTATACCTTATCCTCATTACTATCATTAAAGAGAAAAACATCAGCTCTGACCCTCATCACTAGGCTGGATTAGAGTGAGCAAGAACAGCTACAAAATTAATACGGCTGGGCTCTAATCAGGACCCTGCAGTTATCCCTTCTGTCCTCAAAGCAAGGAGAAAGTCTGGTATCTTTATTTCCTGGTGTCCTGCTTCAAGACATGGCTAAAATACGATAGGAGTTAAGAGACAAGTGGCAAAAATTCTGTTCATACCTTCAGTCCAGAGTGTTAAATTTAGAAATATAGGCAATCAACTTTGGAAGAGAATAGTCAACCAGTGACTGTCCGGCCTCTGCTTGAAAATATTAAAGCCTGAGAAACAGTACCCCTGAAACAGAGCATTCCATCCTCGTCTAGCTCTAAAATTAACTCAAAAGATTAAAGATTTAAATATAAGATCTGAAATCATAAAACTACTAAAAGCAAATATAGAGAAAAGGTTATATAACATTGGTCTGGGCAGTGATTTTTTTGGAGATGACTCCAAAAGCAAAGACAACCAATGCAAAAACCAGGTAAATGAAATGATATCAAACTAAAAAGCTTCTGCACACCAAAGGAAACAACAAAGTGAAGAGACAAAGAATGAGAGAGAATATTTAGAAACCCTACATCTTATAAAGAGTTAATATCCAAAATATAAAAAAAACTCACACAACTCAATAACAAGAAAATAACCCAATTTTAAAAAGGTAAAGAAACTGAACAAATATTTCTGCAAAAAAAAAAAAAAAGCACATACAAATGACTAATAGGTACAAGAAAAAATGTTCAACATCAGTAATTTTTAGGGAAATGAAAATTAACACCACACTACGTTATCACCTCACACCTGTTAGAGTGGTTTTTTTCCCCCTTCCTACATATATATATTTAAACAGAGATGGGGGCTCGCTATGTTGCTTAAGCTGGACTTGAACTCCTGGGTTCAAACAATCCTCCTGCATCAGCTTCCTGAGTAGCTCGGATTATAGGTACATGCTACCACCACAACCCAGCTTTGAATGGCTTTTATAAAAAAAAAGATAAAAGGTAAGTTTGGAGATGATGCAGAGAAAAGGAACTCTTATGAACTGTTGGTGGGAATGTAAATTAGTACAGCCATTATGAGAAATGGTATGGAAGTTCCTCAAAAACCTAAAAACAGAATCACACACCTCAGCAATTCTACTTCTGGGTATGTATATCCAAAGGAATAGAACTCAGTATGTCAGTGGCGGTACCAGTACTTTAATGTTCATTGCAGCATTATTTATAATAGTAAAGATACAGAAACAGATAAAGAAAACAGATACAGAAACAGACAAAGGAAATATTGTATATATATATACAATAAAATACTATTTAGTCCTAAAAAAGAGGTAAATCCAGTCACTTGTGACACACGGATGAATCTAGAGGATACTGTGCTAAGTGAAATGTGCCAAAAATAGAATGACAAATACCACATGATTTCACTTCCATGTGGAAACCAGTAAGTTGAATGGATACAAACAGCTAATAGAATGATAGTTAACCAGATGCTGGAGGAGTGGGAAGGAAGGGAATGAAGAGTTGCTGATCAAAGGGTACAAAGTTTCAAATAAACAGAGGAATGGGAAACAGGAGTTTGATTAATTAATCAAAAGGTGTGAAATTTCAGATAGAACAGATTTTGAGATTTATCACATAAAAGGTGACTGACTATAGTCAATAATAATGTATTATATATTTTAAAATAACTAAGAGTAAATTTCAAATATCTCACCATAAAAATGATCAGTAAGCCAGGCAAAGGATGTGCTAATCAGCTTGATTTAATCAAACCATGTTGTATACATGGATCAAAACATTACATTATACCCTATTATGTTAGAATGTAGCATTTACTCATTATATATACAACGATGGCTTGTCAGAACAAGATAAAACAAAAAAGTAAAAGAAGGGATAGGTATATTCAAAATCTATCATTTTCAAGGTTTCAAAATAGGAGTGATTCCATGGAACAAGGGTGGGCAGTGATGACTTTTGATACTGTAAGTACATGTAAAGCTTAAGAGCCAAGGCTAGAAAGGTCTACTGCCTCCAAAAGATGCTGGAGAATCAGAGACTATGGAACAGCCAGAAGGAGGTAGTCCAGAAGAGGCTGGTGGCCAGTGATGAGGAAGATGAGGCAATCTTGGTAAGGTGTTCTGCTTTCTCTGTTGTTCATGAGCATCAAACGAGAGATTTACTTGTTGCTGGATCTTGCTGCTAAGACAGCTAAAACAAACAAAAGCCCTCTAGGGAACTTAACATGTTTTGAAGATCTAAATCATGTTAATTTTGGATCTTAGTTCTTTTAAAGCTATGTTTAGAGGAACATAAAATAACTCATATTTATCTTTGATTATAAACTTCCTTTAATATTTGAGTTCAGGAGATCGTTCACTGTGTAACCA